TTTTTTTTTTTTTCTATTCTTTCTTGTTTGTGTTAATTTGTTGCAGTACATCGTGAGAGGTGGCAGGGATTTGTTTCACTTGTTGCCCGATGCTTTCAAGGGGATCAAGCAGATTGGGGTCATCGGTTGGGGTTCTCAGGTAATCGAGTATTTCATTTCGTAGTGAGTGCTTTATGGTTTCGCTGAAATGTTCAATATGTTGCGTATCTTGTTTGGGAATGCGCTTTTATGTTATGACTTGGTATTTGTTTTGTTTTGTTTTGTTTTTATTATGACTCACTTACTATCTATGATATGATTGTTGACGCGTGACTGTGTTTACCAGGGACCTGCTCAGGCTCAGAATCTAAGGGACTCGCTTGCTGAAGCCAAGTCTGATATTGTGGTCAAGGTGTGATTTTGGTTTGGTTGGTTTCTTTTATAGAATGTATGCTGAAATTGTTGATTAGTGTTTTGCGGTTTAATAATGTTTTGTCGTTTTAAAACGCAGATTGGACTCAGGAAAGGTTCTCGTTCCTTTGCTGAAGCTCGGGCAGCTGGATTTTCTGAGGAGAATGGGACTCTAGGTGACATATATGAAACTGTCTCCGGCAGTGATCTTGTGTTGCTGTTGATTTCTGATTCCGCACAGGTTAATCAGTTCAAGTCAATGCTCCTGAAACTATATTTTATTTTTTAATTCATTATATTATTTGCTCTATATTCTTATTATTATTCGTCTCTTGCTGTTTTATTGTGTTGGTGAAACTGTCTGATTATTAACACACAAACTCGACGGTAACTATAAGGCCTTCACAGTATTAGTAGCAATTCTTTGTAAGAAAGTTGTTGGGTTAATTTCAGCCATGTTAATTATCAGAAATTAGACATGTCAATGCAGCTGCTAACACCCAATCCATTGTGCATAAATTATCTAGATGACTTTAGTTTATGATAAGATTCTTAATTCTTCAATAAATTTTATAATTAATATATTTTATTTTAGTTTATAAGCACTTGAATTAGGCATTTTAAGATGTAGGTGGATTACTATTAGCTAGTTCCATTATTAGTTGCTTTTAATTACTATTATTATTAGATATAAGGAATATTCAATTATATTCCTTATAAGTTGTATGTCTAATTTTATTGTTTGATTCATGTTTCTTAGTCATTTTGAAGTTGTGCCGTGATCTGAATTCCACACCCTAATGACATTATCTATTCTGATGTTTACCTGATCGGCTGATCACCACCAACTCACAGCTGCTATCGCCAGCTTTCATCACCATCACATGATTCTTCTTTTGCCCCTTTTATATTTTTAAATAAAAAATATTTAATTGTTCAGTTTAATTTTATTAGGGGTCTTCTATTTAAAAACATGTAAAAAGGAATGAAAATAACCTTATATAACATTTTCTCTTAAGAAACATTTTTTCCAATATACATGCAAGTTGTAACTAGTGCAAGCTAAGAGGTGTCCCAATCAAATGTCGCAAGTTTTCTAAGAATGTCATACTATTCATTTGTGAAGCCATGTCAGGTTGAAAGATTTCTTGGTATCATGCTTAACCTCCTAACATATTCCTTCCTTGGAAAAAAAAATCCTTTTCGTCAATATAAGTAGAAAAAGTATGTCTTGTTGCCAGTGATTTTTGCAGTTTTCTGTTATTTTTCTATATTTGCTCCTAATCCAGAACGTTTTAATATTTTTATTTATCTTGCAGGCTGATAATTATGAAAAGATATTCTCTTACATGAAGCCAAACAGCATACTTGGGCTGTCCCATGGGTTTCTTCTTGGGCATTTACAGTCACAAGGACTTGATTTTCCAAAGAACATTAGTGTAATTGCTGTGTGCCCTAAGGGAATGGGTCCATCTGTGAGGAGGCTCTATGTCCAAGGGAAAGAAATAAATGGTGCTGGAATTAATTCAAGTTTTGCGGTCCACCAGGTTATTTGCTCTGCTTGAGCCTCTCTTCACTTTCTGTGGTTCTTCTGCTCCTGTGTTGATTGATTAATTTGGGTAACTATTTCTGCATGCAGGATGTGGATGGCAGGGCTACTGATGTTGCTTTGGCATGGTCCGTTGCCCTTGGTTCTCCATTCACTTTTGCCACTACATTAGAGCAGGAATACAGGAGTGATATCTTTGGGGAGAGAGGTGAGAACTTTCTGCAGTGTTTTGCTAGTTTTCCTTGAAGACTTGAGTGATAACTCCACTTTTGTTGGTTATTAGGCATTTTACTTGGTGCTGTTCATGGAGTTGTGGAATCCTTGTTTAGGAGATTCACTGAACATGGAATGAATGAAGATCTGGCCTATAAGAATACTGTTGAGTCTATAACAGGAATTATATCTAAAACCATCTCAACTAAGGTTGTATTTTCATGCTTGTCTGGCATTTAATGTGTCCGCTGAACTCCCCCATCCCTTCCCCGAAACCCTGGATAATATGCTGGTACAGGGATTTTTTGAGTTCTGACTAGCCTATTGCACTTATTGGTTTGGACAGGGCATGCTAGCTGTATACAATTCTTTATCTGAAGATGAGAAAAAGGAATTTGAGAAAGCTTATAGTGCTTCTTATTATCCTTGTATGGAGATTTTGTATGAGTGCTACGAGGATGTAGCCAGTGGTAGTGAGATTCGCAGTGTTGTTCTGGCTGGGCGTCGCTTTTATGTAAGGACATTCATTTTTTCTTTTAAAGTAATCAGCCTTTGCACCAGAGTTTTTAAATTATACTTATGTTTTACAGGAGAAAGAGGGTCTACCTGCTTTTCCCATGGGTAATATTGATCAAACCCGCATGTGGAAGGTTGGTGAGCGTGTCCGATCTACAAGACCAGCGGGTGATCAAGGCCCATTATATCCTTTTACTGCTGGCGTCTTTGTGGCATTGATGATGGCTCAGGTACTGTTGGAAGTTTTTTCTTGCTAGTATTTTGGGGATTGATGCACATATTTGTCTTTGTTTGCTCTCAAAGGGTAGTTTTTTCTCTCCTGTTGTAGATATAGATCCTAAAAATATCTGTATTTTCACTGTGATTACTAAATTTCCAGATTGAGATCCTGAGGAAGAAGGGTCATTCGTACTCCGAAATCATCAATGAGAGCGTGATCGAGGCTGTTGATTCTTTGAATCCTTTCATGCATGCCCGTGGTGTTTCATTCATGGTTGATAACTGCTCAACCACGGCTAGGTTAGGTTCGAGGAAATGGGCTCCACGATTTGACTACATCCTAACCCAGCAGGCCTTGGTGGCTGTGGACAGTGGAAAACCTATTAACCGGTCATTAATCAGCAACTTCCTGTCAGACCCAGTGCATGCTGCCATTAAAGTTTGTGCTGAGCTGAGACCTACGGTTGACATTTCTGTGTCGGCAGATGCAGACTTCGTTCGTCCCGAGTTGCGCCAGTCCAACAATTAGAACATACAGCAATCATTTTCAGAACTGAAGTTATCGTGATAGTTTGGGTTTTTCAGTTTTGCTTTTATGATTGAATGCTAGTATGTAAGTTGTATTACCATTTTGTAGTTTGTACCCGTCTGTTTCCTGCCATCGAGGAACGTTGCTTAATGTCCTATTTAAATGCAAGTTGGTAAACTATGTCTAGAGGTGAGCCATAAGGTTAAGTTCGCATAATGTAAGTGATGATTAAATAAGTATTTAGTTAAGTTGTTTATTTAAATGTTCCGTCAAGTGAATGTTTACAGTCCTAGAGAGCATATGGTGTTTAATCTAATGCATCAAAACAGTTTATATCTAAAACTATTAGAGATGCCGTAGCTGTGGAGGTTTGGGTAGTATGTCTAATGTTTGAAGTTATAACATTGTGCCATTGTACAAAAAAAAGTAAAAATTGTCAATCTGTGACTATAATTTATTTTTTTAGGAAGGATTAAACATCCCAAATCCTACTAAATAGCGTGAATGACATCTTGGGAATTGGTAATATCAGTGAAGGCCTGACCTAAGACATTATTATGTAAGTTTAGGGATGGTGCTGGTATCCGTTGCTCTCTAGCTCTAAGTGTCCCCAATCTCATCCTCGTATAAGACAGAATGGGTTTGGGTTCGAGTTTTAAAGGTTTATATTTTTAAAACCTTTATTTTCTTCGAATTTTATCGGATTTAAGTAAATTCACGTGGAATCATCACATTTTTCTATATAATTTTATTGCATAAAATTTTTAAATAAAATAAATTTTATTATAATAATGTGAATAATAAATAAGAATAAATTTGCAAATAGAAAAATTAAGAATTTAATAATATTTTTAGTTAAATATATAATTTTAAACTCATTACTTAATTATTGTTAGAATTTAAATTATTAAATTATTAAAATAATTTATAATTTTAATGTTTATAAAAAAATATTAACTTTAATATATATATATATATATATTATATTTCTTTGTTGTAAAACAATGTTAAATAAAAATGTAAAAGATTTAACGAGTACAAGGAATTGGACGAGAATTTATATATTCGAACTCAAACTCGATTTTTCAAGTTAGAAAAAATCTATATCCGAATTTGTATATGGTCAAAGTGATTATTTTATTTTATTTTGTTAAAATGAGGTCGAATGGATATCTATATGTATAGATTTAGTTGTCATACATATAAGTTTGTATAGGTTTAGTTTTCATGTCTATGTAAGTTTAAATTGCAAGGACGCATTTTTTTAAAAAAATTTGTAGTTCTTAATCAATTAGCTTTTGGGCATCTCGTCGTAGGTTTGACGTATGGCTAAGATCCCTTTAATTTTGCTTTGCTTTGTTTTTAAATTTCGTCTGTTAAAAATAAAATAAAAAATAGCCTTTGGGTGTAAAGTGATTTTCCCAAAGAGATTATTTTAAATTAGTCTAAATCTACGCTTATAGGGAGGGTGGAAAATTTTCTTTAAATTATCCTCAACCATTTGTATCAACTTACATTTAATTATGAGCATAATCTAATCACACTTTGTGCTTCTGTTCATTTATAATATGAACATACATGTTCATTCTTAGTGGTATATATATATATATATATATAGTTAATCATCTATATACTGTCAGTGTAAAATTTTTTTACACTAGTAACCAATTATATTTCTTAATTGTATCATGTTACTGTAAACACATTTACTTTTAACAGTGATATGACACAATTAAAAAATGTAATTGATTGTTAGTATAAAAAACTTTACAGTGTATAGGTGATTAACTCATATATATATATATAATACTCTTTAATCATTTTGCTTTGATCATTGTATATATCTTTTCGACTCGTGGATATATATATATATATATATATATATATATGCTTTAAAAGTTATTTAATATAAAAATTCAAACATTTAAAGATCGTGAAGCACGTGAAAATAATAGAAAGCTATGTTTAAAAAAATCAAGTGATAGATAACTCTTGAGCCTAGTTCTGGAATTAAGTTTATTTCAAAAGTAAGTGAAAATAAAAATTGTTTAAATTGCTCTTGTACATGGAAAAACACATTTTACATTTGTGGAGACTGTAAATGCAAATTAATTTTTTAATTATTAATTTTGAAATATTATGAATCGTGTCTATAAAAAAAAATTTGCATGAGTGCTTGATAGGCATGGCAACGGGCAGGGGGGGGGGGGGGGTTTCGGTTTCCC